CTATTAATCTCATTGATCTTCCCCTGATTCAGTGTTGGGGCAAGAGAGTCTATGTCAATAAGTGAACGAATGAAATCATTTTGACCCATCATAATCTTGCCAGAATCCCATGTCGCCGGCACTCCCTTCACGACACATACCATGCGCACCACCGCCACAACGCTCGCGGGTGGTTTGGCAAAGGACTTTAATTCGGTGATACTCTTGGGGTTGATGTGCTTGACCGCCTCCATGGCCTCTTCAAGGGCAGGCATAGCAAGGTCGAGAACCTCTTGTGCCTCGGCACTCTCCTTCTCAATCTCCGCACTTTGCACATTCAGTGATTCCTCCATGAGCAATGCTTCTGCCTTGCGCTTTTCATTCCGTTCCTTTTGTTCTTTAATTTCCTTCGTCATGCGTTCGTTAACTTCCTGCTTCTCTTCCAAAATGACTTCCTTCTCGGCGAGTTCCTCCTGAAGAACTTTCACATCCTCCTGGGCACGGTCGAGTTTCTCTAGACCAATCGCGAATTTATTCACCAAATCGTCAATTTCCTCTCGGCGTGTTATAAGGAGCCGCGAATAATTTGCCAAAAATCCAAGAAAATTCTTCGGCGTGACGTAATTGTGTCGTTTCATTTCCCCCAAGAAACGCATAGAAAGTTCATCCGCTGTCAAGTGAACATACACGGCATGACTCGCAATGGCCCTTTTCAAATCCTCCGACACTTCCTCCTCCTGCAGCATGCGATTACCAACCGCCTCCAGCGCCTGCGATGGCCACTTCTGAAACCAATCGATGGTTGTATTGTTGATGAGACTCGGAAAGTTACGGCAACGGGTGCGCAAAATGTTCCCAGAGGGACTCATTGAAAGCACAACATGCAAGTTATCGCGGCAACGTGCGACAAAGGCCGTCCACTTGTTATCTTTGGAGGGCGCAAGACCATCGGCCTCCACTTCCGCAGCAACACTGCTGTACAACGGTTCCTTTTCTTCCTCTGTGAAGAGCGCTGGCACCATACCTGAAGTCAACATGTTGTTGATAACTTCCAAAAAACCCTCTTCCTTCACGTGGCTGTCGGTAAACAAAAACACAACTTTCTCCTTCTGTACACCGACACGAGCATAAAGGCGTTTTAAATCCTCGCGAAACGCATCCTCGTTGTAGTTACGAGAAAGTACAATTTCAAACACGCCCATCCGGTACATGGCGGCTGCCAATTTTGTGAGAGACTGTTTGCCACTTCCACCAACGCCAATAAGCAGGCAGTTGCCACGGGGAAGAGAAAGAACACGAGTGATGCGCAGCAGGTGATCCAACGCCATGTCAAACATCACTAAATCCATCTTTTTCGTCGGCGTGTTAATCTCCTCCAACATCATCTCCACCAATGAGCGCGCCCTGGTAAATTCCGCTCCAAAATCTTCGTAAATGTTCAGCCGCTCCACATCGCTATCAGGCTCAAAATCACCAAAATCACCAAACAAAAGAGGTTCCGCCAATGCAAATTCCGCCGCGTCCGGGAAATGCCTCGTAATCTCCTTCCGTGCGAGAAGCGCAACAAATTCCTTGTCGGAAGAATCTGCCATACGGTCCATGAACACATGGGAAATTTCATTAAGCCATAATCGCACGATACTCTTCGTGTCTGGAAACATCTCTGGGGTGGCTCGGCAGAGTCCTTCATACACACGCGATAAATCACGTAAGTTGAAAATGTAATGGAATTTAGTGGGTGTTGCGGGAAGTGCGGCAAAAAGCTGTTGATACAGGCTAAGCGTCATGGATGTGAGTTGACTCGGCAAATCACCCAACTCAGTCGCCATTGTTTTATAGGCATCGCGCAAAATCTGTCCGTAGATGGTGTTGATCGATTCGTCCGACGGGAATAAAATATTAAAAATGGTGAAGAGAGAGACAAAACGTGGGTCAAGAGCGTTACGACCACCGCCAGGCGGAGCCATCGCGGCCACAAATTGCGTGTCTCGCACATTTTTAAAAAGAAGATCCTTTCGATCGTACCATGAATGATGTTCCACCAGTAGTTTCAAAAAGGCGATGGGTTGCTGAGTGCCGTAGAGATCCACACGGGGCATATTGATATCATCCACAAACACCAAAAGTCGCTTCTTTGCCGGGGGGCCAAGCACGGTGTTGGTGCGCTTCTCAATGTTATCCTCCATCGCCCTCTGAGCATCAAGGCTTGTGGTGCGAGAGCTGAAATTCAGCTCAAGAAGCATCTCCTCAAGATGAACATCCTCATCAGCAGCTGTGTCTGCCTCCAGAGAACGTTGCTTCAGTTGCTTAAGGTATGCCTGAATGGTGACCGTCTTCGCGGTACCGCTCTCACCAACCAACATGACAGGAGTCCGATTGAGAACAATTTTGTTCAGCAACCACATGTTTCGTTCAGTATCAACCGTAGACACAAGAAGTGAGCCAAATTTTGCGCCTGGTGGTCTTTCAAACGGTTGAACAAGAATATGCCACGGCTTCCACCGGTTTTCTTCAAGATCAAAAAAATAATCGTAGAGAGTTTTGCGCTCCGGAAGAGATCCACTACCCACAAAACGGGTGAGGAAGTTTTCGCCCACATCTTGCAAGTTCCATCCACTGACCTTCTTCAGAAATGCATCGAAGCGTACACGACCCTCTGCAGTGGCAATTAGAGAGCCAAAACTCCACACGCAACAAAATAAAAAGACACACTGCAATGCCTTTGGCTCCAGTGCCACTTTCTGCGGAGAAACCGTGTGCAACATGGTCGTCAACTGGCGTACCATATTTAACTCATTGGTCGGGATCACAAGCTTCGGCGGGTCTGTCACAACCTCTCCGTCAATGCCATCAAACATAAAATTAACAAGAGGCTCCACATATTTCTCAATGAGCTCGTTAAGGGTGTCCAGTTCATCACGTGGGCGTTTCAACTTCCATGCGTACATGAAAGGCTTCCATCCGAGATTCACAGGATCAAGGAAGACCATACCAACACGTGAAACAGTTGCAGGCGAGGCATACTGTAGGTCTCCCACTTCAAAAAGTAATGAACTTGTCGGACGAAGACGAATACGTTCTCCATTCGGAAGCGTGAGAAGTTTATTGTCATCCATGACAGAATTCATGTCTTCTACCCATTTGGCATCCACATCACCATCAAACACAACATATCGACGCTCACGCGCTCCACTTTCATTGGGGCGGTTAATTGCACGGAAGATATTGGAGAAAATACCGTCCGTCCAGCTCCGAGAAAGAGGGTCCATGACGCCATAAAGCGCGGTAGTAGGTTGAGCCTTGGGATTGATGATATACAACTTCGTTGGTAGCCCAAGGTCCGTTTGTGCTTTACAAAGACAGTCAATAACAGTTGACTTTCCACCACCTGTGGGGCCAACGACCATCGAGGTGTGCCGAGTTTGCATCGTCTCGTAGAGTTGAACCACCTTGTCCACCTGTCTCGCGTCCACAAAAAATCCCTTCTCCTTGAATACTTTTGTCGCAGCCTTTGAAAGATTTTCCTGCGGTGCACGTGTTGGGTCAAGACCAGGAAACAGATCTCCAATAAGACCCTTAAAAAGCGGCTCATCTTCCGCGACAAACTTCGGGGTATTCATGTCACGCAGGGCACGCATCAGAACAGACTCTTCCGTCAACTCAGGTGCACCACGCTTCAGTTGTCCCGCCATCACTAGCACCGCTTTTAATGCCCTCAGTCCCCAGTCATAGTGATGTTGTTTTGACAGTTGCCCCTTGGCAAGTTGGTAAAGTGTCACCATCTTCTTGGCCAGCTCACGCGCCGTCGTGAAGCCCTCCGAGAAGAGCATATTTTCCGCAATCAATTCCATATCTGGCACAACCATCACTACAGGACGGAACAAAGCCTTAAGGTTGTCCGGTAATTCAACACGGCCAGCGTAACCGGGATTCATCGTGATAAAAACACCAACCGTCGGTACAAGTCGAATTACTTTGTCACCAAAAAGAAACTCTTCTTCGCCAGCCTTCAGTGCACTTTGAATGCTGCGCAGTTGCTCGGATACCACGGAAAGCACCGGCAGTTCAATACGGTTGAACTCATCAAAGCAACCCCATGAACCGGTCTGTGACAGTCCAGAAAAGATTGTACCCATCGCCTTATAGTCCAAGCCCTCACCACAATTAAAGACAACACACTGAATGGCCAAAGCCTTTGCAAGATCCTTGACGGATTCCGTTTTCCCCGTTCCCGCCGGCCCACCGGGAGCACCACCAAGATAGAAAGACAGCGCCTGAGTCAACGTCATAAAGCAGCGGTCTGTTAACGGGGTGATCACAAGTCTCCCATTCAATCCCATATATTCATAGCCAAAATTAAACCGCCCTGTGCATTGACGTATAACGCATGTGTCACCATCACGCTCCCAGTAAAACCGTAATTGTGATTCCCAATCAAACTCACGAGCATCCGTTACGGAGTCTCGTACAAAGCGATCCACAATATCTCGTCCATGAACATCTACAATGATCAATGTATTGACTTTCTTTGCGTACTGTTTCTCAATATCCTTATCCATTTCTCCCACAAGATCAATGAGTTGTCGTGTCAGTTTCCCCGACAGGTCTTTCATTGAACTTTTCTTTCCCTTCTTGAGAGAATTAAAAGCGTCTTCCACTTCGAACGTCCACCAAATCTTGGCCCCAGTGAGTGTAACCATGCCATGGTACTTTTTCAGCCAATCCAGTCGACCCATCCGAGGGTAATAGTACACACCCGCCTTAAGAACGTCACGCAGTGTCGAGCGCGACTCCTCCAAAACTTCTTGTAGCCATTGTTCCACGGGCGCACCCATTGTTGCCACTGGGCGGTCAAAAATTACAACTTCACCCTCCTGCGATTCCACACCGCAAATGGTTTCATCCTCACCATCCTTAAAAATTAGGTGGGCAGAGTTGTCAAACATCTTCAACATGTGATCCTGCACTGACTTTGCACCGCTGGCAGCCAAAATGGAGAGCAACTCATCATCGGATATGAAGTAGAAACGAGGAAACATGTACCGCTTCGTCTCAAGGTAATTGGAAAGTTCCTTCTGGCATTCCTCAAGTTTCTCCTCCAGATACCGAAACTCTTCAAGACGACCAGTCGCGTTACAGCAGATGTCCACATTCGGCCCAGCGGCCGTTTCATTCATGATGCGAACAAACTTCTTGTCCAGGTCGTTAAACTTGGCGGTTTCCTTTGGGAGTTGATTGGCGATATCGTCACTTCCCTTAAAAATGGATTCCAAATATTGCCATTTCATCTGCACAGTAACCCACACAGCAATCACATCGTTGATCATTGCCAATTTCTTTTCCCACAGTTTCACATCATCTATGAACGGTTGTGCCCATTTCACGTTCGCGATGGATTGCATTTTAAGGATATTGTCATCCACAGCCTCTTGAATCTCGCTTGTGTCACTGTGAACACTGCAGCGAACATCTCCCTTACGAGGTTCATACGGCACCAGTGAGAACTCTGCCTTGACCAGAACTCCTTTACGGCCAG